TCTGCGTCGGAGGAGGAGGAAGCTAACGTTAATCTGCGTCGGAGGAGAGTTTGAGTTGAACGACAGTTCAAAACTACACCAAACTTGGAGTGTGGAAAAGGCGGTAATTGGCATAAACTGGTGTGTGAATGGTTCGGATGGAAATGGAGTTAGGTAATGAAGAAGAAGGGGAACCAGAAGGGTGGACGACAGTGGGAAGAGGGAGAGGAAGAGGACGGGGTGGAATGAAACTAGGTGAAGGAAAGGGTGTTAGAGATAATCAAGGAAGTAAAAGGGATCTAGAAGAAAGCAGTTCAGAGGAAGAAAGGGTTGTAAGGAGAAAAGTTGGGAATGAGGAATTTAAAGTAATTCTGAAACTTAAGAGCGAGGACGGTCAGGAGAAAATCAGCCCAATTGGGGTGTCAAAAGAAATTAAAAAGAAAATAGGAGATGTTGAAATGGTGAAGATTTTGAGAGACGGAAGCCTTTTGATAGAATGTAAGGATATAGAGCAAAAGAATAAAGCCTTCAATGTGGATAACATATGTAAAAGAGTGGTGCTGGAGAAAAAAATGTTGGGAGATAATATAAAAACTAGAGGAGTGATATATGGGATCCCTCTAGATGAGGATCTAGAAAAACTTAAGAAAAATATAGTTGGAGCAAAGGTGACTAATATGAAAAGGCTGTCAAGAACTGTGGATGGGGAGAGAGTGGGGAGTCAGTCCATTCTAATGGAGTTTGAGGGAAAAGAGCTGCCAATGAGCATAAAAATAGGATATATAAGCTTCCAAGTCAGACCTTATGTACCTCCACCACTTCGGTGCTATAAATGCCAAAGGTACGGACACATTGCGGCAGTATGTAAAGGAAAGCAGAGATGTCCAAAATGTGGGGAAGATCATAAATTTGAAGAATGTAAGGAAGATGTAGAAGAGAAATGTTGTAACTGTGGGGGAAAGCATAGAGTCACGTTCGGAGGGTGTGAGGTCAGGAAGAGGGCTAAAGAAGTTGTGCAGATAAAAACAACTAAAAATATTAGCTATGCAGAAGCTGTAAAAAGTGTGAAGGAACAGGAAAAAAGAGGGGTCGAGCAAACGGGGAACCAAACAAAACAGCAAACTAAAGTAATACCAGAAGATAAAGTCATTTACTCACTGGAAAATCTAGTCTTATTTATAGCATATGTTATCAACTGTACTGTTCAAGCTAAGAACAAAACAGAGAAGATTAAAATAATAGTGAAAGGAGCCGAAAAATTCTTGGGATTCAAGGAAGGAACATGGGAAGAAATAAATAAAAAGTTAGAGGAGGATAAGAAGTCGGGAACAGCAGGTGAAAGTAGTTTATGCTAATACTTCAATGGAATGCTAGAAGCCTGATAGCTAATGGACAAGAATTTAAAGGTTATATTGAAGAACTTGAAAGCGAACCGGATGTAATATGTGTGCAGGAAACGTGGTTAAAAGCAAAATTAGATTTTGTGATTAGGGGTTATGTTAGTGTAAGAAGAGATCGTGAAGAAGGAGGGGGAGGAGGATGTGGAATATTTATAAAACAAGGGGTACAATATCAGGTTGTAGGAAAAGGGAAAGAGCTAGAATTCATAGTAATTGAGGTATGGGAGCAGGGACGTAAATTTGAAATAATAAATTTCTATAATCCATGTAAATCATTATCGGTTGAAATAATGGGGGAACTATTAGATTATTTGGAGGGGAGAGTAATCTGGTGTGGGGATTTCAATGCAAAAAGTACAATGTGGGGTAATAGTAATGATAAAAATGGGCAGATTATAGAAGAAGTAATTGAATTGAAAAATTTGGTATGTATCAATGAGAGAAGCGGAACAAGAATCAATGTTAAAACGGGGACGGAATCAACTATAGATATAACAATAGTATCGAATGATATTGCTGGTATCTGTGAGTGGTCAGTTGATAAAGGAAATACAGTAGGCAGTGATCATTATCCTATAACTATAAGGGTAGGAATAATAGGAAATAAATATAAAAATAGAGGGGAAAGATTGAACTTTAATAAGGCAGATTGGAGTAAGTTTAGGTATTTAAGTGAAATGTATTTAAATAAGGTAGATTTTAATATGAATATAAATGAAGTAAATGAGAGTATATCAAAGATAATAATGGAAGCTGCAGAAAATTCTATAAAAAAGTCAGGGAGTAATAATGATAAGAAAAAGGTGCCATGGTGGACTAGTGAGTGTAAAGATGCAATTAAATTAAGAAATAAAGCCTTGAAGGTATTAAAACGTAACCCAATTTATTTGAACTTAATTGAGTATAAAAGGAAGCAAGCACTAGTAAGGAGGATTATAAAGACAGCTAAGAGAGATTATTGGAGAAATTTTTGTAGTACAATAGGAAGAGATACAAAAATTGAGAAGATTTGGAAAATAATTAAAAAAAATGAATGGAGTTAAAAGAGAATTTGATTATCCTGTATTAAAAGTTGAGAATGAGGATATAATTAGGGATGAGGATAAAGCTGAGGTATTGGCTAAAGTATTTAGTAAGATACATAGTACAAATAATGTTAGCGAGGAGGGAAGAAAAGGAAGAGAATGTACTGTCCTTAAGTATAAAAATTTAATGGAGAGTGAGGAAGATACAAATAATTTTTTGAACGTGGAGTTTACCAAAGTGGAATTAAATAAAGTGCTTAAAAATACCAAAAACACGGCGCCAGGTAAAGATAAAATTTGGTATAGAATGATAAACCAACTAAGTGAGAAGTCAAAAATGATAATATTGACATTGTTTAATAAAATATGGGAGGAGGGGAAATTGCCAGAGTTATGGAAGGAATCTCTTATTGTACCAATAGCTAAACCAGGAAAAGATCATTCAAAACCAGAAAGTTATAGGCCAATAGCATTAACTTCAAATTTATGCAAGATAATGGAAAAAATGATTAATAGTAGATTAGTGTATTATTTGAATAAAAAGGGATATATCTCTAATTATCAAAGTGGTTTTCGGAAAGGTAGGAGTACTAATGACGCAATGTTATGCTTAGAGCATGAAGTAAGAAGAGCACAAGTAAACAAGGAAAGTGTAGTGGCAGTATTTTTTGATATTGAAAAAGCGTATGATATGATGTGGGTAGAGGGTTTATTAATTAAATTATACAAATTAGGGATACAAGGGAAAATATATGAATGGATTAAAGACTTTTTAACAAACAGAAAATTACAAGTAAGAATAGGGGAGGTAGTTTCAGATAAATATGTAGTGGAAAATGGCACACCGCAGGGGAGTATAATAAGTCCATTATTGTTTTCGATTATGATAAATGACATATTTGTAGATATTGGAAAGGACATGGGCTGTTCACTCTTTGCAGACGATGGAGCTATTTGGAAAAGAGGAAAGAATGTGGAGTTTATAGTTAAAAAAATGCAACAGGCTATTATTAATATAGAGTTGTGGGCAAGGCAATGGGGATTCAAATTCTCAGTGGACAAAACGAAGGTAATTATATTTTCAAAAAAAAAAAAAAACAAATAAGATAATAGAATTAAAATTATATAATCAAAAAATCGAACAGGTAAAGAGTATAAAATTCTTAGGTTTGTGGTTTGATGAAAAATTAAAGTGGAATATTCACATCCAAAAGATTGTCGATAAATGTAAGAGAAAGTTAAGATGTTTGGTGGGTAATGATTGGGGAGCAGAGAGACAATCGTTACAGCAGATATATATGGGGATAATTAGATCTGACATTGATTATGGATGCTTAGTGTACAGTTCAGCAGCCAAAACTCATTTGGATAAATTAGATAGTATTCAACATCAAGCACTAAGATTATGTACTGGAGCATTCAAAACAACACCAACGGCAGCATTAGAAGTAGAAACGGGGGAAATGCCACTAGATTTAAGGAGGACTAAGTTAGGAATTAATTACTGGTTAAATTTGATGGGCAATAAGGAAGGACATCCAACTCAAGAAATTCTAAAACCATGTTGGGAAAAAGAAAAGAAAGAGATGAGAAGTTATGGATGGAAAATTGAAAAGGACTTAAAGGAACTAAAAGTGGACACTTTAGAAATTAGTCAATCAGATCCAATATCAGTTATACCACCCTGGATTCTACCAGAAACTATAGTAGATTTATCAATAATGGCAAAGAAACAGGAAAAATCACATGTAATAGATAGGTTTGCAGTGCAATTGCATTTAAATAGTTATTATGGACATGTTCAAATTTATACAGATGCATCAAAAATTGACGGAAGAATAGGAATAGCATTTACAATCCCAGAATTCAATGTGAATATAGGGAAGCGAGTCACGGATAGGTTATCAATTTATACAGGAGAATTGTTAGCAATACTTTTGGCATTACAATGGATAGAGGATGTAAAACCATTGCAAGCAATAATTTGCTCAGATTCAAGTTCAGCTTTGATAAGTATAAAATATAATAACACAGATAGTAGGATGGATATCTTATTAGAAATATATCATACTCTGTTTAGAATACAAAATATGGGGTTAGTAGTGATATTTGTGTGGGTTCCAGCACATATAGGGTTAGTAGGAAATGAGAAGGCTGATAAAACGGCAAAGAAGGCAACACATAATCCTATTAGTTTCACAGTTAGGATGAGTAACTCTGAAGGGAAAAGTAAAGTCAAAGAAGAACTGAAGAAAATATGGCAGAGAAGGTGGGACGAAGGATTAACAGGAAGGTGGTTTTATAAAATTCAGAAGGCTGTGGGAAGGAAAAGAAGAGGAAGAAGAAGTAGGAAGGAGGAAAGAATAATAACAAGGTTAAGGTTCGGTCATACAGGGCTTAATTATTCGCTTTTTAAAATACAGAAGCATAAAAATGGAAAATGTGAGTATTGTGAGAAGTTTGAAACAATAGAACATGTTATTTTAGAGTGTTGTAAATATGAAGAAGAGAGAAGATGCATGTTGAAAGAGTGCGAAGGTAGTAAAGAAAAGTTTAATTTAATAGAATTTGTGAGGAGAGATCTGGGAAGTAGACATATTCAAATAATTATTCGGTATCTTAAAAAAACAAAGTTATTCCATAGAATCTGAGTAGAGAAAGATATATAACTATATGCAAGTTAGGTTATATAAGTAAGTGTGTATGTTTAATCAGGAATTAATGGAGGGATTAGGTAGAAAACGAAAGTATAATAGACCATTTCGAACCACACTCCATACCGGTAAGTGGCGGTAATGCTACTTAAAGTTTTTTGCCAACCGCCAATAAAAACCAAGAAGAAGAAGAAGACGCTACACGTAGTCATCTCGTTTATCGCGCAGAGTGCGTCATCTTTTGTGTTTTTAGGATCTTTGTAGCCGCGCTCCCCAGCTACACGGCACGTCGGTTCGGATTCTCTGCCTGGAAACACCACGAACTAATCGGAACCAGCGGCTGACAGACACCGAAGGACCTCCCGGGCTGAGAGGGGTCGATTAGGTGGGCTGAGATTAATTTCTGCTCCATGTTCCGGTTCTTTTAGGGCCAGTTTGGGTTTGTGGGCGGAGCTCTGAGGCTGTAAACATGTCGGTCATTGGTCGAGGCCAAAGTGGCACAAAAACAAGAATTATTCTGTCGCCACAGGAACTTTTAAACTTGTGTCAAAGATCTGAAGTTAAACGCTCGAGTCCATCCATCTTTACGAGCTTACTTTATTCATGGCAGCAGGAAATCTTAAAGACAAATAATCTCAGCAGCAGATTCAGTTAATCTGCGTCACATATTCTTCCTCCACGTGATCTGCAGGAACTGGTCCGTGAAAAGACTGAGTCTGGATTGTTGCACCAAATATGTTGTAAATATTTATTTCAGGTTTGTAATGATTATTAATAGATATTTCTTCAATAGGCTTTGGTTAAAAAAGATCTACAGTTATTTTTTTTTTAGGAAAGCACCTGAAGATAAACGTCTTCTGTCTGTTGGAGGTTTTGTGCTTGTTTGTGTTTCTCAGGATGGTGGCGGGCGATATGCATTCCTCCAAAGGATGCTGTTGTTGAGTCTGTGAGGTCAGATGGGTGACGCTCTGCAGGAATTGAACCTTCAGCCTCAGGTGGAGGTCAGTCTCACCCCTGGGTTTTTGGATCCAGATAAGGGACAGAGGAGGACAGAGAAGGGACAGAGGAGGGACAGAGGAGGACAGAGAAGGGACAGAGAATGGACAGAGGAGGACAGAGAAGGGACAGAGGAGGACAGAGGAGGGACCGAGGAGGACAGCGGTGCAGACGTCCAACACGTTATCTGAGAGGACGGAGCTGTTTTTAGTCCGACCTGTGCTGCTGTGATCTGCTCGGCTCAGACAGGAAGTGAGGTGACCTGTGAGCGCTGACGGACGACACCAAGTTCTTTAGAAGAACCTTTCCTTTTAAACCATCTGCTGTCTTTGGTGTCCGGTCGTTCTGTGTTTCTTCAGCAGACCGTCTGAGGTCCGGACCGAACGTTGGACCCATTAATGTCAGACAGACAGAACCTTCAGGATCGCTGCCCGTCTGTTTATCTGGCACCGGTTTCCTCCGTTTGTCTCCGAGCTGCGAACAGGACTCCTCTGAAATGGACGTGTGAAAATATTCAGCAGCGTTTTGTTCCTGTTTGTTCCAGAACCTGTGACAGAACCGTCTCAGCAGCTCCACCGATCCGTTTCTGCAAACAGAACCCAAAGAAACTGAAGAGTTGGGTTCAAACACAACGATTAAAACGGGTTTTATGAGAAAAAAATAATCATAAATGTCCGTGCACGCTCTTCTTCTTACCCGGGTCGGGTCTCAGAGGTCCAGGAGTGAAACCTAGACCTCCAGCTGGACCGGAAGTGTTTTAGAGAACATAAATAATCCCTGCAGGGCTCTGGGTCTGCCTTGGGGTCTCCTCTCAGGAGGCTGTGAGACCTGAACTCTGCAGAGTTCCCACTTTACCATGGAGGTACCCGGATCCTGGGGGCTTTGTGTTCTGGAGCGTCAGCCTCTGGTAGGGTCTGTGATAAACTGGTCTTGGGTCAGATGAAGAGCCACTTGAAGACCGCGATGAAGAAGGACTACAGGGAACAGGGTACCTTGTCTGGAGCAGGGGAACTGAGGGACCCTCCTGGACTCAGGACCAGCAGAGAGCTTGGATGGTCAATCCTAGACTCTGGGATTCTGCTGGGTCAAACCAGAACAGACTACAAGAAGCCACCTTCTGGTGGGCCACAGAATCCTCTGGGTTGCTAGTCGGGGGAGACCATCCATGAGGGGTTCTGCAGGACGTCTCAGACCTTCTCCTCTAAAACACCAGAGAGGTCAGGGTTGTTCAGGTGTCTCCAGAGCTCTGAGGATGCATCTTAACGTCCTCATGTCCAGCCTTTAAAACCACGTCCATTATAAATGTTCCTTTAAACAAACCGGTCCAGATCTGCCTGACTTTGACGTTAAAGTGACCTCCAGCAGATTGAATCAGCCGTGGTCACCAAGTCTGACTTCCTGTGAATAAAACAGCATTTTAAACTAAATCAAAGTCTGTGTTTCACTCCAGGTTTGAGCTGCTGGGCTGAGCAGCGACGATGGGAGGAGATCAGAGTCACGAGACGAAGCCCGAGGAAAGAAAAGCAGCTGAAGAACATGCGGAGTGTGAGAAACCCGCCCACCAGGCGCCTGAAGGTAAAACCTGAGCGCCACTCGTCCAGCAGACGTCTCTGAAAGTCTCACTTTAAACGTTTGTTTGTTTCTTCACCTGAAATAAACAGATTTAACTCCTGAAGTGATTTCTGTGAGGTCATCAGAACTGTTTCTTCCACAGAGTTGCCAGGTGAGCTGCCCCAGTGCATGATGGGAAGCAGAAAGGTGGACGACATGAGCTTCATGATCTCGTGCACCAACTGGTATTAGCTTGGCTCTGGTTCTGGACCTCTGGGGCCCGGATGCTGCATTCATGAAGTCCACACAGAGACGCTGAGGTCCATCAGGACCCGTTGGAGGACGCTCCTGCAGAACCTCGAGGTTCTGGGTTCAGGACTTCTTCAGGAGGATCGGACCGTGTTCTGGAGACGTTCGTTTCACTTTGTCTTCTGTTTAAAGAAAGTGTCTTTAGTTTCTTTAGACTGAGCCCGTTCTTCAGTTTAACTTTGATTTTTCTGCAGTTTGAACAGAAATAATAAAAGTTTATCGACGATCATTGAAGGTTTTTATGGGGGGGGGGGGGGGGGGGGGTCAGGTTCATGACAGTTTGAGCTGAGAGAGGCGGGGGAGATTAAAACTTTGTTTTTCTTCGAGTCGTGAGAAAGTCGAGCGAAGTTAAAAATACATTTTAAAAAGTTTAAACTCACCAAACGAGCGTGGAGGAGCTGAGCAGAGACCCTGGAGGTCCAGTCTTGGTTCTTCAGGCTCAGATTTACATGAAGCTGAACAGAACCAGCAGGAGGATCAAACAGAACCTCCTCTTTAAACCTTTAATTCAGCAGAGGAGACACTCGGCGCACCTGAGAGGAGGCGGTCTTCACCCCGGAGGTCTTCGGTCTTCCTGCTGGACAAAGACTCTGAGAAACCACGTCTGCAGATCCTCACAACTTCAGGACACGGAAAGTTTGATCATCTCTCTAAACTCAGCTTTAACTTTTAAAACTTGTTTTAGTAGCAAACGCAACAATACAGCCCAGTCCTTACCTGGTACAGGTCCGGTACTGGTGCTGAGCAGGTCCAGAGTAAGGAGCCGGGCTCTTCAGTCTTTCTCAGACTTTTCATTTATCTGAATGTTTTCATCTCGTCCCTCAGTTTTTGCTCATGTCTCAAAACCTTTGGCTCATTTGGGACATTCCTGCTGGGACTTTAGCTGTTTTGACTTTTTGAAACGTTTAGCTTTGTCGGCCATGTTTGTCCCACAGAAAATTAGTGGAGCTCTCGTCCGTCAAACCTTTTAGCTGTTACTTCTCATTTTAACTTTCTTTAGCTCCTTTCTGCTGTTCAGCTACTTTTAGCCTTATTTTTCCTGCCTTTTTTGTTGTTGTTCCTTTCAGCTGTTAGCTTCAGCTCACGTTAAGAGTTTAGTGAGGAAACCTTTTCAGCTGAAATCATTCTTTCACAGGAAACGACATTTCTCGGGTTAGTTTGAACGTTTGCTGCTGCAGACTACGTCTCACGTTATATTTAATATTTAATGTACGATCACAACATTAATCTTACGTTTCATCTTTAGCTGCTCAGACTAACAGCAGCAGCTAAAGATGAACTTTGGCTGATCCAGCATTATTTTCCATCGTGCTTCGTTTAATAATGGGACTCAAACAGACACGTCTCCATGGAGACCAGGTTAATTGTTAATAATAAATATTAATGATTAATTGAAGACACAATCTGTGCTGCCCTTCAGTCTCGTTCCGTCGTTACAGGCTGATCCGAAATAACTTCTCATGACGGATATTAAAAAAATAAAATACAGAACGATCATCCGGTGATTCCTTCCTGAGAGTTTTGTTCAAATTCAACCACTGGGTTTTGAAATATTTTACTAACAGACAATTGTGCGATGCATTTACATGATCGCCCGCCTCTCAGTCATTAAAACAACACGAGAAGCCTTTTATTAACGTTTTATTGTCAACAGGACGTCGTGTTGTTGGTAAGTAACTGGAGTTAAACCAAATAAACATCATTAAATGTTAAAAAAACCAAAACTGTTTCCTTTGAATTAAAATGAGAAATAAAGTTTTAAATTGTTCACATGCTGATAATAATAAAAATAATTAGACATAAAGTGCAAAAAGGTTCACAAACGAGAAAAATCTATAAAGTATTTGCAGTAAACGAACAAACGTGTTAAGAATTAAAATTAGGTTTTTGTTTTTAATCCATTTAATAAAATTTAAACAAAAATCTTAGTGCATTTACAGAAAAAACATTTTGTAAGAAACAACGTTTTAAAGCTCTTTCTGATAAAAGTTGTAAAAATTCGATATGTTTTCCCTTCTTCTACATTTACATTTATTTCTACGAGATAAGAAACGAAAGGCAACAATGGGCGGGTTAAAGGAAGACTCGGCACCGTGACGCCACTCAGCAGAACCACAGGGCTCCTCGGGCCTCCCGACCACAACGCCGCGCCTGGAAGTTCTGACGGGTCGTCCAAACGGACTCTGGAGGCCGGAGGTCACCGAGGCTTTTCAGCTCCTCAGGTCCGGCCTCTGAACTCTCAGTTTGTGACCAGAGCGCTGCGCAGCCGCATCTTCCAGCAACACTTTCTATAAACCTGTTGTAAAACTGCATTCGGGGCTGCAGCCTCCGAACACGTTGAGGCTCAGGCGAAGCTTCACGAAGCAAGTCGGACACTTCAGAGACGCCCTCGGGACGCTCTCGGGACGCCCTCGGGACGCTCTCCGCCTCCAGCAGTCTCGGACAGATCCTTACGGACCAACTCGAGCGCGTTGGGTGGACCAATCCGTGAGATCTTCAGGGAAAATGTGCACGTTTTCTTATGTATGTTTCTAACGAGGCCGACGTTTATAATTCCTGCTTCACATCGACAGACTCACGTGAGGAAACGAACGCTCGGAGACGGTGGAAACTCCCTCACTAATGAAACTTTTGGCCCCCTCGGACTAGCCGTTAGCTCATCCGTCCGGTCAGAACATCGATCGAATGCAGACGTCCTCTGGAAACCAGTGGTGTAGTCTACGCAATACACGGGTAAACGGAGTATACCCACTAGAAAAGCTCAAGAATTTCAGTAAACCCACTTAAAAGTGCACAACGATACATGACATCTCATCAGGCGCGTGTCATTGATATGTTAAACACAGTTAAACGCTTCCATAACAATCTGTATGCGGCGCGTTTATTACATTCACTTATCCAACAAATTGTATAATTCTATACTTTCTACTGAATACTTGAACATGTTTTGCTTTGACACTGTTTTATAAATTCTATAACATGTTTTAATACAACGCCAACTGTTGTACAGTTTGTTGTAAATTTATTCAAATGTAAGCATCAGAGAAATTTGGAAATGTTCAATATGCTTAAAAATCTAAAAAAAATGGACGATTACGTTCTACTAACCAGTGTAGTTTGCTTTCTAAGCACAGTATACCCACTACAAAATGTAGACTACACCACTGCTGGAAACCTGCAGGTTGAAGCTGGAAGCCGACCAGCATCCTATACTGGATACAGTACAAGTTTTAGGCCCCGCCCCTTTACATTAACAAACGTCTTAATGGGGAAAAAACGCACTTCAGATAATTTTGATTTGATTGTTGTTGATTCACGTAGTTCTTACCCTGCCTCTCGCTTATAATTAAAAATTTTCTAACTAGTTTAGCTGTAATTAGTTATTTCATACTTAAAGAAAGGTCATGTGACACCATGAAAGTGCAGGGTGGAGTAGGCGGGGCTAAAAGCTCCACATCACTAATGAGCAGACTCTGGTTCCAAAAATACAAGATGGCAGCTCCCGTAAATCAGGCCTCATGGCTTCGTTTTTAAACAAGTGAAGGCAACGACACCTCGTCCATTTTTAATGTCTGATTTGAGCTCGTCTACACAGAACCCCACCCAAAACGTGCTGGAGTGTCCTTTTAAGGACACCCGTCACTGTTTGCGTCCAGCGAGCATCACCTTGTGTGTGAGTGGCGACATCAGAGGATCAAGTCTACCTTTAAAGACAACTCATTGTGGTCCGAACTCACCAGAACATCAGGATCGGACCTGGAACAACGAGACCAAGAGCTCCGACACCGAACACAGTCCCAGTTAACGGAAATAAAAGAAGAAACAACAGCAGATAAATCCAGAACCGGGCCGGAGCTCAGTCCAGTGTCAGTTTAATCCAGGTCCATAAAAGAGGCAGATATCTCGTTTGCCCTCTGAGATTAAACTAAAGGTCTGTGCACAGACACGTGTTCACGTCATGAACGTTTAATGAAACGAACTTCAGTGAATCTCGGTAAATATCTACAAACACCGATTCTTCTTTCAGGCGGCGTTTAAAACGGTTTAAAACGTGGACAAAGTTCTTTTGACGAGGGTTCAAGAGCTAAATGCTGAAATCAGAACGCGTCTCGTTCTCTTCACTGAAACATCTTTCTGCTGCTAAACAGTTCTGGAAAATTAAAACTATTAAAAAAATCAGCAGGTATTTACTTATTTTACTTATTGATTTAAAACACTTTATCATGTGTAATGCCTGGTTTAAGATCCTCCCCTGTGCGTTAACGTCTTACGATTCTTCGTTAAAATAAGCAGCAGGTTCTTTTACCTCGTGAAGATGAAGTTTCTGATTTTTCCTTTGCAAATATGTGAATGCTAGAACTAATAGGAGTAAAACATGCTTTAACTTTCCTGATGCTGCTCAATAATCCAGGTAGAAAAATCTAAAAAAGTTCAATCTGGTCCTCTGGACATTCAAAAAAACAAAACAAAAAATTTTTGTAGAAACTGAGAAAGTCTTTCGGATGAAAGATTAAACGTTTCTACAATTTTTTTTGTTTTGTTTTTTTGAATGTCCAAAGGACCAGATTTAACTTTTTTAGATACTTTAACTTTATTTATTCAAAGTAGGATTCTTAATTTTTCCACAATTTAAATTTTTTACCTAGACCTGCATAGTTCATTGTTATATATTTTTTAATTTTTAATTGGGAAAGTACATATTATTTTTCCTTCTTTACAAGAATCGTGTCTTTTATTTTGTCTTAAAATGTAAAAATATAAACAAATGTTAAAATCTTAAGACATTTTCAGCTTCACAATGACCAGAAATCGATCCCCAACTACGCTACTGGCCAGAAAAGTGTCCTCCAACAATGTCACGCAGGAGTTCAGGTCTTAGGAGGTTCACGTGGTCCGCGGGCCGCCAGGTGAGAATAACAGTTGTAGCAGGTTTTGTTGCTCCGGACACGTTTAGTGAACAAAGGGACAGAAATGGCTCTTTTGACTGTAAACGTTGCAGATCCCTGCTCATGACCCTCTGAGCAAAAAGATAAAAGCAGCAGAATGTGTGTGTTGTGTGAACAAACGTGCACTTCGTGTTTTCTGTTTCTGAGCATCAGTCTGCTCAATGGGAATAATCTGTTCCTGACCCACAAGAACCGGGGAAGCGGTCGAACTGTGACTCAGTGTGGTTTGAAGGCGGAGGTGCAGGAGGTGCAGGAGGACTCCTCGGCCCCTCTGGGAGGTTACTTAGCCTCTGGATGAGTCACTTCAGACCGATTCAGCGAGCAGCTCGTGTGTTTCAGTAAAGCGTTTCACAGCTGCAGCTCTGCCGTCGGTACAGAACCACTGAAAGGCCCTACAGCACCGGCTGAGGAACACGCGTCCAAACACAAAGTGGCTTTAAATCCATCTGGTTTCCTGAACGGCTCAAAAGTCTCAACTGATTCTAGAATTAGATGAAACGACATAAAACATTCAAAACATGAGCCGCTGCTCCACCCATCACCTCTGAGGGGCTTCCTGTAGCTTTTTGGGGATTGGCCTGGCTGAGCCCCAGAAACCAAGGCTGGCAAGACACACACACACACACGCAGGTTTGTTTTGCTATCTTTATGGGGCCTTTGCATTGACTTCCATTCATTTCTATAGCCTAACCATGACCTTTATCCATAACCTAACCATTACCAGTACATGCCTAACCCTAAACCTAACGCATCCTCAATTCACACCTTAGTCCTAAACCTAGCCCCTAACCCACCAACGGGACTTCTTCTTATGGGGCCCGGGCTTTGGGCCCCATAAGGAGCAGTTGGTCCTCACAATGCTGTATAAGTTGGAAAAATGGGCCTCACAAAGTAGCATAAACAAGGACACACACACACACACAGCTCTGGCTCCAAGAGGGAGCCATGGTACCCCCCCCCCCCCCCCCCAGTTTTCTGTGGTTCTCCTCCATCAAAGTCTTCAAATCGGTCTTCATCTCACCCCTGAGACTGGTCAACCACGAGGAGGCCCTAGTAAAGGCTGACACCTCAGAAAACCCAGGTTCATGGGGGTACTCAACCCCCCCCACCACTTCCTGCTGGCTCTACTCCATCATCCAGGGACAGCTCAGCTAAAGCTGCTGCTCCTCCTCATCGAAAGGAGTCAGCTGAGGAGGTTCAGACATCTAATTAGGAGATGGGAGGAGACCCCGGGGCAGACCAAGAACCCTCTGCAGGGATTAGAGATCCTCTCTGGATTCACCAGAGAGGATCCAACAGGAGGAGTTGACGAATGTCCCCAAGGAGACGGAGGTCTGGGTTTCCCTCCTGGACCTCCATTTATTAATGTTATCTAACCACTGAGATCACAGATCTCTTTTTCAAAGGAGGTCTGGGCCTGAAGGCAGACCTACATGCAGGTTTTAGGTCTGTGGGAGGAAACCGGCGAAAATCCACGCAAGCACGAGAACAACATGCAAACTCCACACAGAAAAACCCCGGGTCCAACCGGGGATTGAACCTGGGACCTTCTTGCTGTGAGGCAACATTGCTAACCACTGAGCCTATGACCCGACCAACAATAACAGGAAGTAGTTGGATGTTGGTTCAGGTTTTTCCTCTTAAAACTAATAAAATAAATTTGAAACGTTTAGTCCCAAAATGCGACACAAAGAAACAACAAAACAGATTCTAGTTTGATTAATTCAAAAAGTGAACAAAAGACTTTTGTCTTCGAGAGTCGAAACATTTAGAGTTGGCACTTTGGACAAACTCCTGCCAAGTTTTATTGCAAACAAACTACAAACAGGAAGTTTGATGAATGAGCAGACACAAGGTCAGCTGAGAGGAACGGCAGCAGACGGGATCAGACGGAGGTCAAAGGGGAAACGATTACCAGGCAACTGCAGAACTTCATTAAATCTCACTCAACGTGACCGTGCAACAGCCAGAATACTAATTCAGGCTCCGTCAGACCTCTGTCCCGTCATGTTCGGTCCTTACGGAACAAATGTCTCCTACAGAAGAACAAATAAAACACAAATACTGCTGTTCTCCAAAAAATGACCCAACCTATGAACAGAGTCGGCCATTTTTACACATTTACCAACTTGGTCCACGTTTGAAAAACTCGTTATCGTCACAGCCAATGACAACACACTACGTATCAATTATCGGCACAAAAAAGTGAGTGAAACATTCAAAAAGAGAAGAATTTAAAACTCACATTACAAAAATGTCAAACCTGCAACCAGAAACTGATCCACCCCAAAATCAGCCGAACTTCTCCCGATTTAGAAATCAATATTCAATCAATCAATATTATTTACCAAGTCTTGTGTTACTCTTTACATTGAAAGGTGTAAAAAAAAATCTCTTGTAGCAGTTAAAGACTTTGTAAACAGCAGGAAGTTCACCTGATGGTAACATCCGTCGAGTAAACGCATCTGCATGATGCAAACATGGTCAAACACACGAGGCGCGGCGGTGCACGCCATCGTGCCAAACCATCACCGTAAACGGCGTGGAGATGAAGAACACGCTGAGCCCATTCACGTAGGTGCTTCCAAACTCAGCATCTATGTACTAAACAGACAGGTACCTTATGTTTTGGTATTTAAAGTAGTATCTCTCTGAGGTGCAACTGTTGGGGAACACTTGGAGACACAAAATTGAGCAAAAGGAGGAAATTCTCTCTTGAAATCACACAAAGTGACACGTTTGCACAAACTGTTTGTAAAACGTGGCCAGAGTTTGCAAACATGCCCGAAAAATACAAAACTCTAAAGTGCTCTAAAAATATGAAGACTACCGTAATTTCCAGACTATTGAGCGCACCTGAATATAAGCCACGCCCACTAAATTTAAACTTTTTTTGGGGGGGGACATATACTGTATAGGCCACACTTATCTATAGGCCTCAGATGAGATATTTACACAAATGTCTCATTCACACTTATTTCGAGTGGCTGCAAATACTTCGATGTGCCCCCAGGTAGGGGAAGAGAGAGCGGGAGGGGGGCACCCCCTGAGTGGAGCAATGAAACTTGGTTTCATTGCTCCACTATGACCTGTTCAGTAATTTAATTGGTCAGATCTTTTTTTACCTTTATTTATACAGGTAGTCTCATTGACTCCATAGTTGCCAAGTCGGCTTATTATAACTGACTTTGGGCTTGTTTTTTTCTAAAGTCACTTGTAAATGTGATTTACGTTTTTTTGGGGCTTGTTTCTGAACGTGAAAGTTGCTTATTTGGGCTTGACTTTCTTTCCAAGTGAAACTAGTTATCTCCCAGCTCAGCACAATAAAAGACGAGTGGTAGTACGTACTTTGTCCCTTCCACGTCTCCATTCAGTCACGATTTAGTTTCATCGGTCGTCAAACCCTCAAAGTTGTCTCACATGGCTCAAACTCTCAGGAGTGGAAATTTGAAAACTAAACTGAGAAATTCCAGCCGTCCAAAAACAGAGTATTTAGAGCGAACATCAAAATACCAGCGACACCAGAGTGAGTCTGACACTTAAATCAAGAACTATTGAAAATGTTTTGACCATTTGCAATTTGTTGCCAGCAGATTCAGCTCAGTGAGACACTGCTTTTTTTTACTTTCACTGTTTAATATAGATGAATAATGTGACTTTCAATCAATTATTTTCTAGTGAAGTTACCATTAACATATCCTACGTTATATTCTGTCGTCTTAGAGCCTCCACACCACAGAGGGTGGTTCGTTTTGTCGTCTCTTCTTCTGGGAGAATTGTTTATTTAAAACGAGTAAAAAATAACTTTTTATTGTTTCAAACTCACACTGAAGAACCGTGACTACAGTAACATCCATTAAACACACTTTTGCTGTGCACCACTGCTCTGTGCAAAAACAAACACAACTATTTTAATTAAAAAATGCTAAAAAAAAACGAAAACTGGCCTAAAATGTTCTATTTTTCCTTCACGACCCGTTACACTTTGTACAGACACGTCTAATCAGGTTGGACTTCACCTGTTTGTTTTTTCTGACTAAGCTCAAGCAACATTTTTCTTTTCATTCAAGAGCAAGAATAAACGTAAAGAGTTTCTAGTTTTAGCCTTCACCTGTCCACGAGTTCAGGTTTAGCACTTTGATAATTACAGGCCTCGGTTTTGTGCAGCGAAAGCTTTAACGGAAATAAGGCAGCTCATCTGTTGACTGTCGTTGTACGCTGACGACTCACTGCTCTCCCTCTGCAAACCTCATGGGGACGAGCTGCGTGAACCAGTGAGTTGGTTCTGGTTTCACCAGCTGTGGAAACATTTGTGTCAACAAAACTAAAAGTAATGAGTGAGTTTTGTTGTGTGGTGGAAGAGAGAGCCAAGGATCCTCTAATGTCGGTAACAGAAAATCTGTGATCCACAGATTCCTGATTTTTTTCTTCATGGCCTTTCTACCTGTATTTTATTTTCAAGTTTATTTTAGGCTGTTTGTTATTTTTTTTAAAGTAATTTTAAATTAGTTTGATAACTAAAGTAATTCACTTGTACAAGTTGCTTTTTAGCACAATCTTTTTTTTTTTGTCAAAGAAAATAAAAAGTCACGTTTTTTTCCTCCATCTTTTGTGTTTAAAACGTATAAAAACTTTAACAAATCTGCTTTTCTTCCTCTCAGATAATCTCTGTCCATGTTTGGTTTAAACATACGTGAACACTGACACGTCTCACGAAGCAGACACAAACACTTTGAATCAAAGTCTAAATCTACTCCCACGTTTCACGGCTCGGCCTCACCGGCGGACAGAGTTCGCGCCCTTTAGCTCGTCCTGTGCCGATGCCGAACGTTAGCCAGGTTCCAAAGCGCAACTCGACTCCAGATGTTTGCGTGTCATACCCACTCCTGAACCGGGTATTTGTAGTAGTGCTGCATCATCGCGTTCTGCTGCGCTCCTTTGTTCTTGAACTGAAAAATGGTGTAGACCAGCACCAGGACGCACAGCGACAGGATGCAGGGGATGACCACAGCGATGGCGTTGACTGTCGTGGGGGCGTTGTTGAAGGTCACCATGATGTCCACGTCGTCAAGGGGCAGCTGGCGGTCTCCGCGGGTGTCACCGGAGCGCTCCATGTCAGACTGGAAGCATCCCATCCAGTCACGTAAAACCGACTTTGGGTATCCAGGTTCCACTTTGAGCTTCTGGTTGTCAAACTTCCAGTAGTCTTTCCCCTTGTAGAAGTAGGTATAAACTGGGGAGGGAGGGAGGGGGAGCATGGCATGGGTGAGGAAGGAGGTGGGTGGGACAGTAAGGAAAGAGGAGAAGAAAAAAAGAGAAATACATTGGTTTTAATTTGAGCATAAAGTTGACTTAAAACAACATACGGAGGTTTCCACCCACTCATCAAGGGATGGATGTAAAGTCCAGTCCTGGTCCAGAGCCACCATCCTGCATGTTTCAGATGTTCTTCTGCTCCAGCACACCTGATCTGAATCAATGGGTTCAAGCTTCTGCAGAACATAAGGAGGTCGATTCATCAAATCAGGTGTGTTGGATCAGGAAACAGGTAAAACCTGCAGGACTGTGCAGGTCCCTCCAGGACCAGGACTGTGCAGGTCCCTCCAGGACCAGGACTGTGCAGGTCCCTCCAGGACCAGGACTGTGCAGGTCCCTCCAGGACCAGGACTGTGCAGGTCCCTCCAGGACCAGGACTGCACTCTGCTCTATTAAAGACTTACAAAGTTCTGACCTGATTCCATTATTTTGCTGATTTGAGACATTTTCTTCCAATTTAAACGTTACATAAAAACACAGAGTGGATTCGTTCCTAACAGGGTTCAGTCGAGCTTTAAAATTTATTTTCTTACTGTTGAACTGAAATAATTTAAAGTTTCATCTAATTTGGATGTTTTAATTCAGTTTTACAACGTTTCCAGAAACTGTCAGAGTGATTTCCCTGCAGGTGGAATAAAAAGTTTCTGATTGTTTCAGCACATCGCTCCTGACGTCAGGGCTGTCCGGGGTTAAATGGCCGACACATCCACATCGACACGTCAGAAGTGAGCCGTAAGGTCCAGGTTAACGGGTTGAAGAGAGAATTCGTTGTTCAATGACACGACAGAAAGCAGCACGTTCAGTAAAGTTCTGTGAAAAGGAGCTGCCTGTGTCGGATGATTAGTTGATGCTCAAAGTCTCAGGGAATAATTTAATATCTTCTGAAGCTCTGAATGCTCCGTGAAGGACCAGATTCAGATCATTTATGGTTTAACGGACTCAAGCAGTAAATAGTAGTTCAAACATTCAAAACTGGTCCTGATGCTGCTCAATACTCCAGGTAGATAAATCAGTCTGAAGAAAACTTTAGGACAAAAGACGAACCGTTTCAACAAAGAAGAATCCGCCCAGAGGACCTGATTCAACCTGGTTAGATTCAAAAATAAGATTTCCCTCCAGCCAGTTAATGCACTTCAGCAAGCGGACACGTTAGTTTCAGAGTGAGGAGGACTCATTCATAATGGATGAAAGTTATTTTAAAATAAAGTCAGAGAAGCCATAAAACCTCCATCTGCACTCACTGAACCCAAAGAGGCCAGAGGAAGAACACCCGACTCCTCCACAGAGAGATTTAAATACTTCAGTCATGTCATCTGGACAAGTTAAACACGTTTTAGAAGAACATTTAGAATAAAAAAACAGCTGACTATGTAAATGCTGTCAGGTTCTTAATGACCAGAGGTTTATAGTTAATGTGTTTCCCTCACAGTTAGTTTTATGGAAGCCCAAACAGAAGACATGAATGGATGAAAACATCTGCTGAGGCTACTGTCTTATTCTTGTAGTCTGTCTTATTTGCAACGTTTGGACTCTTAAAGCAGAAGTTCCTGCATTTTTCACATGGTCCTGTCAGAGGATTTTGGTCAGAGGTTATCGAGTTGGATATATTATTACTAAAACAACCAAGTTGTCTCTCTCCAAACACTCCCTTATCCTGCTCATGGCCTGTATGTATGAAGGCCAGGAGGGCCAGGTGAGTCTACAGCGGGCTTCGAGGACACCCACTGAAACCTTGTCAAGCTGATCGGGATATAAAATGCGAGCGGACAATAAAGTATTTGCAGATCATTGTGACCGTTGCTCAGGTGTATACAATTATTGTATATTGATGTAAACTGTTACAATATCTGCCCTTGCAAGTAAAATTGTGCCGGAGATAAATCTTCACCTTTCGTGTGCGAGTGTGGTTCATTTGAGTCAAACATTATTTAGAGCATGTTTCTCGTACAGATCCCTTAAAGAAGAAGAGCTCCAAACACTCTTGATCACAAGTGATGCCTTGTCTTCAGTAATTTGGGTGTTGGTCCGGTCAGTCTTGTTGACAAAAACGTTGAGTCGAAAGGCAAAGCTCTGGATTTACTGGTCCATCTACGTTCCAACCCTCACCTGTGGTCATGAGGATTAATATTTAAAGATTATCGTATGCAACTTAAAGGTATTTAACTTGATCAAAGCTGACGTGGTTGAAGAACCCGTTTGCTTTTTTCGTCGGTCGCAGCAGTTGTCCACAAACCAAGCAGGTTTTGCATGACAAGTTCAGGAGCTCAGCAGCAGAAACAAAGAAAACAAAAGGTTTCTGTCGTTCCTGCCTCGTCTCCTGCGAACAGACCAGTCCATCTTTGACGTCTCTGCAGGACAGTTTGTCCTCAGCTGCCTGATCAGATGGCTCTTAATGCCACACAGAGGTCCGATCAGCTGGCTCTTCGTGTCACACAGAGGTCCGATCAGCTGGCTCTTCGTGTCCCACAGAGGTCCGAT